GAAAATACCGATAGTTTTTAATGGGTGGCAGCAATGCAACATGAATGTCACAGACCCCTGGTTTTCAGCGCCCTGAAAAGAGCCTTTTCCGCTCCCAATATCTGAATAGTAGATGCTGGAATCTTGGCCAAATTGTTCAGACTTCCGGCTTGGGAGATGAGGCGAGCACCAACCTAAAAAGCGACAACCCTGACAATTACAGATAATGGGCTAATATCGGGGGTGCTTGGTCACATATGGGCTAAGATCACTGAAAGTCACCGTACCTGTTCCCCGGTGATAGTCATTAGATTCGGAGCACAAGCTTCCATTTTCTGTTTCAAATACTCTTGCATTTCTTTTCTGAACTCGATTAGGTCGATAATACGTTCAGAAAACATATCAATGTTGATCAGATCAATCGGGCTGATGTCCATTCCCATCGAACTGTGGGCAGCGGAGAAAATCTCTTGAGCTTTATCTTCATCAGCGACAATTTCTACAAGTAATCAACCGATGTTAACATCTGAAATTGAAGCGTAAAATCAATGCACAACTGACCGGTCAGACCATCAAACTTTTCAGTGGTCAATGTCTTCTTGTCCTGAATAAATTTCACACAATGACAAAATGTCAGTTGATCAGGCACCAACTTGAACAGCTCCGGGAAATGATAAGAATACCTAAACATCAATCACTCACTACCTGATTACTGAATAGCACTATGATGTAGAGTCAACCATTCTCTGATCCTCATGGTGAACAGGTTAATATCCTTGTCAAGTTGATCAACTAACGCAATTGCCTGAATGATCATGTTGTCGACGCGGTTGACGTTGAACTTTACCTATAAACAAAAATTATGCAGCTGCAAACGTAAAAAACCAGGCAATAAATCATTTTTGATTTTTTGTTCAATACTGACCTTGGCACGAGAATAACTGTGCCCCAATCCCAACTGGGCTGCTCTGTCGCCGCCGGAAGCTAGCCTTTTGACAAGTTTCGTGTAGTGAAACCTTATGCCGCGGATCACCTCCGGAATTGCGCCAGTGTGCACGCATTTTATGTACGGAAACTGTTCAGAAATGGCTGAACCAAGCTTCGAGTCGCCCACTCCAAGAGTCGTTGTCAACTTTTTCAACGGAGGAATGTTAGACTCAAGGAAATTCAACAAGTCCAAATGAATATTTCCTGAGAATACAGAACGAAAGTCGATCAACTTAAGGAAAAAAATTCAAAAAAAGCAACAAAAATGCAACAACTTAT